AAGAAAACACCTAGGCAACGATTCAAATTTGTAGTCATATTACGGAGATGAACCAAATTCATATTCAACAGGAATATAAAAAAAACGAGAAGCAACAATGATAGTTAAAACTAGAAAAGATGACACTCTATCTAAGAATAACCCAATGCTACTATAAAACACGGCACATGAAAGCCAGCATTGTCATTTAAATTATCTAACGCGCACCAAATAAGCAACAAACCTTGGAAAGCACATCACGATCGCGCAAGCTGGAAGCAGATAGAGACAACTGCAAGTGCATAAATAAATATAAGAAAGCTCCAACATTGAAAATGAAGAGCACAGTTACAGAAATCAAATAGCCAAGACCTGCAATATGATGTTGCATAGTGAAACAGTCAATTCAAAGCTCCTACAATAACGGACTGGTGATGAAGTAGCTTGGTTCACAAATAACTGCACCGCTATATTTTCATCGTATAAAACAAGAAAAAGTGGACTTCGTCATCAATTTAAAACATCTAGCAGTTTGGCTCCCTTCTTCAGATAACATTATAGGACATTAGCTAATCAAGAGCAGTGCAATTAAGTAATCACAGCACTTGTCAAATTCCAATTACATCGGGCCGTCCTCCAAGTCAATGACTACTCTTAGGTTCTTAGCTAACAAAAACGAAAAATAAAAAACACAGCTGTACAATATGAAGAGGTACAAACAATCCAGTTCTAGAATTAGGAGGGAATCCAACAATCGCTTGGAGAAACCTCAAGCTCGAAAGTATAATCTTTTAGATTTAAATGAATAACTATATTCCCGCTACCCATTTACTCGGAACTTTTTGCCTTTCTGTTTGGTTGGAGCCAAACATATTTAATTTTGATCATGATCTTGTGAAGGATAAAGTTAGTATTTCAGAATGCTCACATTTGCAGTTGGAAACTTTTATCTATGATATCTACACACTAAACTTTAATAACAAAAAATAAAAAAGCTAGTTATTATCGTAGGAATTCTGATATAACAAGACCATATCTACCTCAATTACCAATGAAAATTTAGAGAGACATACAATCAAGCTAGTTATTCCGAATCGCAGAACAAGTCAGTTTCTCGCACGGTCAATGCCAATTCAACTTGTAGTATCTTAATTCAACCACAATTGGTAATGAAACGACAAACTAAGTCCTCAAAATCACAGTCGTTTAGCAGAACATAGGAAAAATGATATATGTGCGTATAAGCTAGTAAGGTTGAATGAAAATCAAAGTAAACAGAGAGAGAGTGAAGTGCCTCGATCTGAGAGTAGAGGCCTTGGTAACCGCGAGACTTAAGGAAGGCATCGACGGCTTCGTTAGGAGAGTAAGCTGGATCGTTCTGGTTTTTTCCGGTACCGCCGACTGCCGACTGTCCGCCGGCCACGTCGGAGCAGCAATTTCCCATCGCCGCCGCCGCCGCCTCTTCTCTCACTTTCAAAAATGTCCAAATACAATTATCTATTCTCTCTCCTCTCTGTAAATATGTATTCACAAATTTATAGATTCACAAACGTACATTCTGTGTGTATATATACTTCAACGTCCGTTGAATCTGGATTTTGGCAGAAACTGAGACAGAACTTTGTGGGCCACCCACTGCCGCGTTAGTCCTATCTGTTTAAACAAAAGCGCGTTTTTTTTTCCTTTCAAATTAAAGAATGACGATTAGGTGGACTTTCGATTTGGAAACCGAAAATTCAAAGAAAAATAAATAAATAAATAAATAAACTGAATGAATAATCATTAAGAGAACCAAATAATCACAATAGATTAAATAACTTAGCCATGCAATCGTGAAAATCTAAAGAGAAGTAGATACTCCCTCCCTCAAATTTATGTGGGCATTATTTGATTAGGCATGAAATCCAAGTGGTGAAAAATTAAAACTTGTGGTTTAAAATATGTTATTTTTGTGTGACTATACATTATTCTATTTAGGATAATATGAAAAATTTAAAACTAAATAGTTTCTGAATATAAAAAGTATCATCATTTTTCGGACAAACTAAAAAGAAAATTATATCATAGAAAATAAAAAATTGTGCCACATAAATATAGAATATAGAGGGTATTTCATTTTCTTAGCATCTGTTTTCCAACTCACCTATTCTTTGATAACCAAAAATAAAATAAAGTAAGTTCTCGATTTACCTCTAAGAGAGGTAATAATGTATTCACTTAAATTGACTGTCCAAGAGTTTTAGATCTTTTCCTAATAATAATTATTATTATAATAGTAGTATTGTATTAGTAGTAGTAGCAATAATAATAATAATAATAACAACGACAACAACAACAATAACAATAATAGTTATTCTTTCATGGTTAGGTCTCCCAAATCATGAACGTACACCCATATACAAGCATATCAATATCATTTTTTTTATCACTCAAATATTAAAAAAGACATTTTCTTTTATGACTTGTTCATTTCTGATCATTGTTAATAGTTGACGGGGGATTTCACAGTTATGAAGTGTTAAACTAGATAGTAGTCTTTTTTTGTTTTTTGCTAATAAACTAGATAGTAGTCGATAACTCAAATTTTCTTTTCCCATAAAAAGTTCTAATTACTAATACTTGCAATATCAAATGATATTTACAAATAAAAATAACCAATGAAACTCACATAGATAATAATTTATATTATAATCCTTATGGCCCGCTTCAATTTTAAACTATCGTTCATTAGTTTGTTGAATTAGGTGTGTCTTTAAAGGAAAATGGGTGGGTGTACAAAATAGAAGCTTCTATTTGGACAGATAAATGTAGCTTACGGATTAGAAATCCGGTGGTCATATACACTATGCTTTTACAAAATTATACTAGGTAAAATTTCAGTCACATGGCATGTCTTATTAATATTATTGGTTATCAATTTTTAATCCAATAATTCATATGGTATTTACACATTTGATACGAGTAAATAAAGAATTATATATGCATGCATAAATCAAAATGTCCAGCGCTAGCTGACCCTACATGCCGATAATTATCGTATTACTTTAGAAATTAAAGCCATGTCGATTTACATGTAAGCATTGTAAAGTTTTTAGGAAGCATCATTTTTTAGCAATTCCACTTTGTTGCATGTAATTATTGAAATTGGAAGACTTCCCTGTCTCTATATCACCTTTTTCTATAATTTAATTGTAACAGTGTTAGAAGAACCCACGAAAGAAGATTGTTTTTGAAGGGTTTGCGACAATAGGACTGGTTGAATACCTTCTTTTTTTTTCTTTTTTTTTTAGGGTTGCATTTGGCTAGCTTGTGCGCATATGCATGAAACTCTATCAATTAAAACTTAGACACATAAAAATAAATCACCTAGTATTTTTCTAGTCTACTAAAAAAATTTGAACTTAAAACCTCAACGTTCTGCTCCCGCCTCATTGATCGGAAAAAAACTAGGTCACACCCTTTGGGTGCACCTTATTTAAACCATTTTTACTTGCATAGGTCATTCAATAAAAATACAACACAATCATTCTCCATCAGGGTAGTCTTACTTTAAAAGAAAGCAACCAAAAAGGCAAGGCCTCCAATTAATAATGTGATCTATACGTCTGGCAAACTTTTTAGAGCATGATTAGGAAATTCATTCATACTTTCGTTCATTGAGTGCAAATGGAAAGTATATTTTGTCCACGCCACAACAATAGAAAGAGACTACTTCAAGTCTTCAACAAAGACTTACTGCTCAATCCTTTTTCTTGATTTAACCAATCTCATTTATGCACCAAAATCTGCAAATAGTCAGTCACAGTATTCATACATACTTATTATACTCTAACCTTGATGCACACATTTTAATACCTCTAAGTTGGTATATCAAAGTCAAGTTAGTGGTCAACGGTCAAGAGGTCAACCACTAAAGGATATGTCTAAAACAAGGATGGAATGCTGGCGAGATGTCCATTACATTAGACAACTTTTAACAGTCATTTATTATTATTTTTTTATGACGGTTATGTCATGGACAACATGCATATCTCGATTAATTCACCAAATATCTCCTACCTCCCGCATATATATTGGGTAACTCTACCTACTAACATTAGACGGATAATAACAAATGGGTAACATTTAGTGTCTGTCTCTACTGGAGTTAAATGTTGGTACTTGGTTGTCAAGATTGCCATTCCAACTATCTAAAATCTACTTCACAACAACCCCCCCCCCCCCCCC